GAACTCAGACTCGGAAACATAAGTATTGAATTATATATCGAAATTCTTATATTATAATTTTTTGAACATTTTGATTTGAAAATAAATAAGAACAAAAACTGTGATCTGTGATTATACTGACAATTTTTTATGTATGTTGTAAGAAGTAGTTATAACAAGCCAAATTTTCCTGTGATATTATTGATTTTTATATTTAGAATGCTTTAGTGATATTGTCGATTATATTTTATATTTTTGATTACATTTTTATACTTAGATAATAACAAGACAAATGCTTTTGTGATATTGTTGATTCTTTTTTTTATGTTGATCATATTTTTATATCTAGTTAACAACACGTTATACTCAGCTAATAAACAAGCTTTGAGATTAATTATATAATTTTTTTTGACTTTGATTATTATTTGATGTAACATGCTTTTATATTTTTGAGATGTTAATTTGTGTTTTATTTGAAGGCGTCATTAAAATTTAGTTTAATTTTTTATTTAATACTAGCTGTTCCCCGCGACTTCGTTCGCGTGAAATTTATTACGATTGATTTTCATGGATTTGAATGTTTTGCGAAAGACCCAATTCTTTTTCTTATATAAAAATAAGACTAAGTTACTCCTTATAACTTCAGTTATCTGTCAGTGAAAGTTCTGACAAAATTTGTTCAGCCATTTCGGAGGTTTTATTAGAAGTCGTTTTTAAAATTTCGTTTAATTTTTTTCCTGGCTGTACTTAGTACGAGCGTGCGAGTTGACGACAGAAATATTAGGTAAATTCGGAAGGTGCCAAGTCGCCCGATCGGGCGAGTTTTTGTCGGGCGAGTTGATGAATAACCCTGTTAATAATATAAGCTATGTAGACGACATGGTGCTGCTCAGTCTATCTATAGGCGGATTAAGAAAATTATTGTCTATTTGCGAGAAATATGCGGAGGACCACGGCTTGAAGTACAACTCGAAAATGAGTGAAATTCTTGTTTTTACAGCACCGAAACAGCCGCCGCGTTGTGTTCCTCCCATATACCTCAATGGTATAGTCCTAAATATTGTTAATACTTTTAAGTATCTTGGTTACATTATAACGAGCGATTTAAGAGATGATTGTGATATAGAGAGGGAGCGTAGGGCGCTGGCAGTTAGGAGCAATATACTTGCCCGCAGGTCTGCTCAATGTACAGATGACTGTCACCCTTTCCAAACATTTTGCCAATCTTTTTACTTGAGTAGCCTGTGGGTACCATACAGGCGACGAGCGTGCAGCGCCCCTCGCATTCAATACAATAACGCTTTTAGGATGCTATTAGGACTGCCATGGCGGTGTAGTGCTTGGAAAATGTTTGCGGATACTAGGACTGATGGATTTCATGCTGTTATGCGAAAGAAGTCAGCCTCAATGTTACAGCGTCTGCGAAACAGTAACAATAGCATTTTAAAAATGATCGCGGCGAGACCAGATTGCCACTTTCAGCGACACTGGGTAGAGCTGGCAATAGGACTAAAATGTCAATGAATTTTGTATTTATATATTATTATAATGTAGGCATAAATACTAACATTACTAACATAGTTTTTAAGTAAAATTGTTACTAATATACTTACATTTAATATGGACTAATTATATCTGAAATAAAGTGATTATTATTATTTGCGGTATCTATATAATTTTCTCATCTGGTTGGGCTCTATAAATATATAATTATAAATTAAAATGAAACGATAAATATACATAAATATCAATAAAATAAAATAAATACAAAAATACATAAATAAATAAAAGCCCAACCAGATGGGAGCCCTCGGCAGGGGAGACCAAACGGCCGAGGGTTAGGGGGAAAGGGAAAGAAACCGGCGGACGATGCGGGCAGTATCGAGGAGCACCGCCTTCTGCATTTGAGCCCGGAGCGGTCCGTCACGGAGTCCCAGTCGCCTCAGATGACCCGAGAGGCTGACTGGGATTAGCCCATTCGCAGAGACGACTACAGGAATAATTTCGGCCGGCAGACCACCCCACATGTCGGTCACCACGTGAGCCAGGTCCAGATATTTTGTTCGTTTATCTGTTTCGGCTTTCACGAGGTTCTCGTCATACGGAATGGTAATGTCGACCAAAAATATCCTTGACTGTGCCCGGTCCATCAGCACAATATCAGGCTTATTCGCAAGAATAGTCCTGTCTGTGATGATGGCCCGGTCCCAGTAGAGCCCAGCACGGTCATTTTCGAGCACGGCTTCCGGTAAGTACTTGTAATATGGCAATTTCCGATCCACGAGACCGTATTTCAGAGCGAGCTCCTGGTGTAGAATTCTAGTTACTATGTTGTGCCTGTGCAAGTACTCAGAGTTAGAAAGCGCCGAACAACCGGAGATGACATGCCTAAGTGACTCACCGGGATGGCGACAAGCTCGACAGACGTCGACGGTACCATCCTTTAGGATGTATCTCCGATAGTTGTTGGTCTTAATAACCTGATCCTGTATTGCACAGACAAAACCCTCGGTTTCCCCAAAAAGGTCACCGAAACGTAGCCAGTTGAGGGAGGCCACTGTATCTACGAAGGGATCATGTAGAACCCTGTAGTACCTCCCGTGGAGCTCCTTCTCCTTCCAGACGGTCTCCCGGTCGGAAATGCTTTGTAGTGCCGGGTCTTGCCATTGCTCGTTGGCTAAGGATAGAGGGGTAAGTCCTTTATCACTAGAAATGACGTCATTATAGAATGGATCATCCGATCTCACCAGGAAGTAATTACGGAGGCTGCACACTTCGCGATTATGCATGGTGAGCGCGCTCAGGAAGCCACGCCCACCATGCTTTCGCGGCAAGTACAGCCTCATTACCGACGATCTCGGATGATGCATCCTATGGGACGTCATGGTAGTGCGGACTTTTCTATCCAGGGCGTTAAGTTCGGTCTGAGTCCACCTGAGTATGCCAAAGGTATACATGAGGACAGGCATGACCCAGCCGTTATATGCGTGTGCCTTATTCACACTGGACAAAAGGCTGTTAAGCACTTTGGTCAAGCGTGCATAAAACGTGTCGTAAACTGACTGTTTCATACCAGTCTCATCAATACCGATGTTCTGTGACATACCCAGGTATCGGTATGTTTCAGCCTCGGAAAGGGTCCTTAAGTTGACGGGCATAGATAAGTCTATGCCCTCAGAGTTAGCAACCCTACCCCTCTCAACATGGAGGACCGCACACTTATCCGTCCCCAGCTCCATTCCAATAGAATTGCTAAATTCACAAGTGATGTTTAGCAATTCCATAAGATGGGAGCGACTGGAGGCGAATAATTTGAGGTCATCCATATAGAAAAGGTGGGTCACTTTTGTACCTCCTTTCCGAAGCTGAAATCCCTTTCCGGAACCCTCCAGTAAAGTACTGAGAGGGTTCAAAGAGAGGCAGAACCAGATTGGACTCAGACAGTCGCCCTGGAATATACCCCTTCTTATCCTTATGCGGCTTTCCGCAGCCGTCATCCGCTCGCCTAGATGACAGAGGATCGTACTCCACTGCCCCATACACTGCTCGAGGAAGTCTCGAACTGTACAGTCAATCTTGTACAGCTCGAGGACCCTCTTTAGCCATGTATGGGGCACCGAGTCAAATGCCTTTCTGTAGTCTATCCAGGCGGCGGAGAAGTTCCGACGGTTGCGTTTCACCACTTTGCCAATGACCGCGTCAATGAGGAGTGGTTCCTTTGTTCCACAACTGCCGCCCCGACATCCATTTTGAGCGCGCGACTTCACCTGATTTGATTCCAGGTGACGAGTGATTTTCGCGCTCAAAATGGATGTTAGTGTCTAATTCCTTATTATTATTATTATTATTAGTGTCAATCGCAAAATATAATAATGCTTACTTTATGAGGAAATGCCTGGCATGTTATTAATAATAATTTCGCATTTCTGTGGTTTAGTTGTAGGAAGATTCGTTAAGTATCTACTCCTTTAAAAAAAAATTGGAATTGGCTATTATGGAATGAAGATTATATTTTTATTAGCTGATATATATTTTAATTAACAAGTGAATAGCTCCTAAAAACCTCACAAATAACGACTAGCGCGGCATTTTGCTCAAACATGCAACTTGAAAAATACAATTAATTCTAACCTTTTCTAGTTGTTCGATATGTTGTTATTATAGCAGCAAGATGAAGGGAAAAGAGTAAGCAATGCAGGCAGAAATAACCTTGACAAACTAGAAAACATACATTTGTTTTAACTTTTGTTTTCTATGATTGCTCTTACAAATTACTGCCAAATTTCTTTTGAGTTTGTTTTCCTTTTACCCGTCTGCTCAAGCAGTAGGGCAATGTTATTCGAGAATATGTATATATGTATCTGTCTCGTTGCTCCAGTGGTTGTAGTAGTGTGACTGCTGACGATGAGGTCCTAGGTTCGAATCCCGGGTCGGGCCAAAAATTAATTATTGAGTTTTTCGTCAAGAAATTCTCAGTAGTTACCAGGAGTCATGAAGTTGGTGGTGTCTCACCCCCGTGCCTCGGAAAGCACATAAAGCCGTTGATCCTGCGCCTGATCTCTCTCTTTGGTCGTGTCGGTTTACTGTCCCATCGGATTATGAGAGTGAGGGTATAGAGAGTGCACCTGTGCACTCACACATGTGCGCATACACTTGTGCACTATAATCCTGTCCTGCGCCGATGACTAGTCTCCGTTGAGGCTGACCGCCGTGACCGAAATTCGGTCTGGACATTATTATTACATAAGTATGTATGTATGTAGGTTTGTATGTCTATTTTTATGGCACTCTCTGTAAACTAAATGACTAGATGGATTTAAGTACACGTGGTGTCATAAAATTTGTCTGAGTTGCGGAAGTTTTTAGTAAACTTTTTTACGCAGTTGGATTTTTTTGATTGTTGTTTAAACTTTTTTTAGGTGTTAGATAAAGAAGGATTTACCATGTCCTGTGGGGTAGACTGTGGTCGGAAGAGCTCATATTACAGATAGGATCATGTAATGCCAAGCATTTTGTTATAGGAGCTGGCGACGTTCGAGGGCATGCCGGATGGCCCGCAGCTCAGCGTGGCAGGTGAGACCGGGCTCCCACTTCATGAATAAATTATTATTGAAACTGTACTAACAATAGTTTCGGTCAAAAAGTTTATTTTTTGAGTAAACGAAAACGGCTTAATGCAGATCTAGTTGTTGGACAGAGATAGTGAAATTTAAGAAACAGCATTATATGTATAACAATAAATGATAACTATGAGATTGTGTGATTAATTTTCATTATGTAGATGCTGCATACATAATATTATTAAAATAGATTAAATCGTGAATTCTAGGTATTCTAAATTTATCAATGCGCGTATTTAGAAAGTACCTAACATTGAAAGTTATGGTCAAGTATTAATTAAGTATTTCTTGACGTTTTTGTTAAAGATTTGTATTGTATGCTGAATATATTACATTATTAAAATATTACAATAAAATTCACATGCGATTTTAATATTTCTAGTGATGCAACGAATAACTACTTTTACGAATACGAGTACGAATATCAAACCTACTACGAGTATTCAGCGAAAACAAATAGGAATACGAATGTCTCGCTATGATAATAAATATCTAATTCGTTTAATGATTTTGTATTGTTCTATTTAAAATTTACAATAGGCAAGTTTTTATTTAAAAAACATAATGTTTGTAGATTTTCTGGTATTAGACGATTTCTTTTTTCAGTCTGGATGTTCCCAGCCGTTGAAAAAAGCCTTTCCGAGACGACTGTACATGGTTTCAGTTAAAAATATATTTGGGCGAGTTTTTTCAGCCTTGGAAAATGGTCGTCTTGGATGGGAGCCCCGTTGTTGCAGCTAAGAGCGATTCGTGATTAGTGTTCGCCGAATACAAATATTCGGTAAATGTCTACTATTAGGCGAATGCGTATATTCGTATTCGTATTCGTTGTGTCACTAAATATTTCGTATTTGTGTAAGGTATCATAGTCCTCCGTACCATATTTTTTTTATATATATATATATATATATATATATATAGTACCTATTTTCTTTTATAGGATAAGAGTGAACAACTAACACATAGTCACCTGATAGTACGTGGTTGCTGTGGCCCATAGACATCTACATCTATTCTCTAAATGCAGATGCGTTGTCACCTGCAAAGACTAAGGTGGAATGCCTCGTTTCCAGTAAACTAGGTCTCCAGTTCTCATACAAAACACAGCGGTATTGAGCTGCTATTTCACGCTGGTATTCTGTGAGAGCGTGGTCCTGCCCCGGTCGAACCGACCCACTCGTGTTACAACTACACTGCTAATATAGCTGCAGCATGGCCCTAGCACGTAAAAATAAAACAACTTTTATCTGCGAACGAAATCAAAACAGCGGACCAACAAAATTATAACTACTATTTTATACAATTTGTGTGCGCTGTTTCCTACTAAGCGACGACAAGCACAGGGAGAATGTTGTTGCTAGGTGAAGGCTTATTTGAGTACAAATACATAAAATTTGTCAATCTCTAAATCTACTAACTCTAACTCTGAGCTCATTGTTCTTGGAATATTTATATCTTAATGCTTTTAAGTTTTTTTTTCTTATCGGTTCTATTTTGCTCATATGGTTATTGTATTGAATATTTCAAACCAGGCATATACCTAAATATTACTAAAGAATACATATTATTAAAGAATTATAATAATTATACATATCTTTGTTACGTAAATAGATATAGGTACACAAAATGAAGCAATTTTCGAGAAAGTAAACTGACGTAGAAGCCCGCTTAAAATCTTGTCATGTTCGAAGAACGAAGCCTGCCTGGTACACAATGTGAACGATTTGGGACTGACAGTAGATACATTGTGAGATAAATGTTAATTTACTGTTGAATAATATAACGAGATGTATACTAAAACAACATTTAAAATATTTAAATAATACTATTTTTGACGAATTTTACCACGTATATTTAACTTTTTAAATACTTGACGTTTCGAGCACTTTACAGCACCCATGGTCACAGGGGGACTGAGATATTCAACGTCCAGATGTCATAGTTAACCGCAGTTACCATAGATTAAAATTAATAATTTTTGTTCTGATCTACGCAGTACGAACTTATGATATCTTGAAGTCTTGCGGTTGTATGCTTGGGTTGGGATTTAATTTTATTAATTATAGGATACCAAGTAGACGGTAGCGCCCAGCCACCTTCTCATTGAAACTAGGATGTTTTTTGATTTCAATAGCCTCGCGAATCATCCTTGGAAGAAATCGATGTTCTTTAGCGAGGATTTGTGGTCTATCAAATCTGATGTAGTGACAGGGGTGATCCCGTATGTGTTCACAGACTGCAAACTTCCCGGAGCGTCGATTCTTCACATCAGTTATATTATGTTCTTTAACGTAGTCTGCACTGGGGGGGTGACCGTGACCATGGGTGCTGTAAAGTGATCGAAATGTCGGGTATTTAAAAAGTTAAATATACGCAATAAAATCCGTAAAAACTAGTATTATTTGAATGTGTAGTGTTCGCGTAAATATAAGAAAAATATTAAAACATTCTCTTTTACTCTTCTGGAAAAGATGACACCCATACTTTTTGTAGTTGATCTGTATTGAATTATCACTACGGTCGATACGAAAGAAGGTTTAAATCACAGTCTTAAGAGCCCAGTCAGATGTCGATTGAATAATTTGAAGAATTTTCATTTCATGATGGAATATTGAAGTAATATCATAAATGAATAAATTGAATAAGACAGGACCGAGATAGGATCCCTAAAGTACAGCTGTGATGAATAAGGAGCAATAATTTTAATAATTGAATTGAAATGAAAATATTGAAATGCCTCGAAAAAGTATAACGTATTTTGTTGGTCGTGCGCCCGATCTGTCCAGTTATTTCAGATTGCCCTTCCATCGTATATAAAGGGAATAGAGAGTGAACCTGTTAATGCACTCTCAATTCTGCACTCCAATCTTGTTGATGTTTAAAGCCGCCGTAACCAAATTTCACCTGGGAAACATTATTGAATATCAGCACTTAAAACTGTGTTTAAAATTTCAAATCTTAAGTCAGGCTTAATCTAAGTATAGCCTGAGGTACCAACAGCGGTACAGAATGACTTGCATCACTCGACGTTTGACAATTTGACAAAAATTTTGTGCTACAGATCTGGAGGAGGACGGGTTCGATAGTTCACCGCCGTGGTACTTCCTGTTGATAGCGGAACACGAGGGTGAGATCGTTGGCTATGCGATGTGCAACCGTGCCTACTCGAGTTGGACGCGGCGCGCTTTCTATTTGGAGGTAGGTTTACGAAATTATTGACATTTTGATATTTCGTTTTGAAATAACAGAACCTGTATTGTACTGTTATAAAATAAAATAAAAAGTATTTATTTGCTACAAAATACAATGTTACTAGACAGCTTAATAATAAGTGGTGACAAAATGGTCTGTGACTCAGTTGTAACGGGAAACCCACCACTCCTGCTATTCTGCCACAGCCTTTGCGCATTAACCATACACGGTCTTAGGCAATTGATGAAACAGCCGTAACAACCATAAATAAATAAAAAATAATTAAAACAATACGTAAATTATAGCTCTTATATTTATAGTTATATTGACATGATTTCTGTGTTTATGTTTTCTTAATCTAAATCTATGTATTTACCGCTAACATGTTAGAAATATGGCTTTCGATAGATAGTATAACCATTTTTTTCAACGAATGGAACTATGACAGTCACCTTTCTACTGTCTTGATAATGAGGAAAATCGTCTCTCTGACGGTAGAGGCTCAAATTCGGTAGAGAGATATTACAATCTAATGAAAAAGAATATTGAATGGAGGGATTAAAAGGAAGGAATGGAATATTTCATTTAGTTTTATTTGCTTAATTAGAAATTGGACTTCAGTCTTGATACGTGGATACTCTGGTAGATTAAGCTACGCGCTTTTCATTTCAAATTAACACGATCAATATTCCACTATTTGAATTTTTGATATTTATTCTAATTTATATATATGTAATTGCAAGCATGTAGGTATTGCTTTGTCCGTGCTGGAATTATTACTTTGAAATTTATCAAATAAAGATTGTGTTTTGTGTTGATTGTTTCATCATCATCATCATCATTACAGCCCTTCACAAGTCAGTAATGATCACTGCTGAACATAGGCCACCTGCTTCTATCGACATCCTGCATGTCTTACCAGGTCGTCACTCCATCTAGAACAGCATTTCGCCTACCGGTACGAGGCTGCCACTCGAGAACATTTTTTCCTTATCGGTTGTCGGTTCTTCGAGCTACATGGCCTGTTTGTTTTTGTTGCCTGTCTAAGTCTTTATAAAATGTATAATTTGTTGACTCGTTACATAACATGCTGTTCCTTCCACCTGTCACTATGTCTCGTACATTCTGTGCGAGATATTAATATTGGACTCTATTTGAAAACCAGCGCTGCAGCACTTTTAGTACTGCGATAATTTGCCCTTGAGTGATGCCCCGAAATAACATTACTACCCCACACGGTAGCAACGTTAATGCGGGACACCAGTGTGGGAGTGTCCGCCGCCCTGCAGCAGTAGCTGGTGTTGTGTGAGAGGTGGCAGAGTGAGACAAACCAGGAGACACGCAGCAGCGACTTCCCGATAGAAAATAAAATGCGGTTGCCAATCCGCTTCCCAAGATCAACTTTCATCTCCGACACTGTTCCTATGACATCCCAGATGTTAGTCGAAGCGAGCTTAGAATGGCTCTCTAGCACCTTAAAAACAGCAAGGCCCCGGGAGCAGATGGGATAACAGCGGAGCTTTTGAAAGAGAATAAAAAAACTGATAGACTATTCCGGAAGCGTGGAGCAGAAGGCGGTAGTCTTGTTCTTCAAGAAAGACGACAATGCTCTGTTTGACATAAACGAGCACACAATTCACCAAGTAAGTAGATATTGTAGCCCATAGACATCTACATCTGTCATCATTGAGCATCAAAATGCAGATTGGTTGTCACTCCCGAGGACTTAAATGAAATACCTCGTTTCTAGTAAAAAAGAGTCTCCGATTCTCTACACTCACCATACAAAATGCAAGAGCATTATGCTGCTAATTTTATGGTGATTTTCTATGAGCGTTTCTGAGAGCGTGGTGCTTCTCCGGTCGAGCCGCCCCATTGGAGCAATAACTATAATATAGCTGCGGTGTGGCCCTGCCAAGTATAAAATACACGAAATTACAGCAGCAATACCACGTAATTATAGCGAAATCGCTAGAAAACTCATAACTACGCTCAATGACCTCAATAATGTTTTTAAACGATTAGGTCTTAAAATGAACATGGATAAGACAAAGGTCATGTGTAAGATTCGTGTCACTCCTATTCTGGTAGTTATTAGGAGCACTACACTACACTACACTACACTACACTACACTACACTACACTTGAAATTTTTGATGAGTATGTTTATTTAAGACAAAAGATTCGATTAGGTAAGTCCAAGTTTAACTAAAAGGTCAATCTGTGGATTCAACTCTGTTGAACAGTGTTCAGGAAATTACGACAAATTAATATTTTTGTAATGAGTACCTCAAAATTTGAAGAAAAAAGATTGTGCAAACAGTGCTTTGGTGCGACATATGAATCTGAGACGTGGTCCTTAAGTGCTAATCGTATGAAGAAGCTCAAGGTCACTCAAGAGTTCCTCTGCGTGTAAGATAAAGTGGTAATGAGCTGATCATATAGCTCGAATAACTGACAACCAATTGGTAAGAAAGGTTTTCGAGTAGCAGTGCCATATCATTAAGCCAAATATAGGGCGGTATCCTACTAGATGGAGTGAGGATCTGGTGAAAGATGCAGGCCATTGTTCAGTGTGGACTTGGAATGAAGTTATTATGATGGGGGGTCTTCACACTTATGTTTTCAACATACCTCGCATTAGAACCAAACTTTTCTTCTTATTTCCTAATGCGTACAGCAAATGAGTGGAATAATTTGCCGGCGTCTGCATTTCCGTTCGAATACAATCAGGGCGTATTAAAATTAAACGCCATAAAATTCGTAACAAAACTTTTCTTCTGTATTCGCGCAAATATAAGAAATTATTAAGAGAAATAAATAGCTTTGTTCCTTTGTTTAAATTTCAAGTAAAGGGAACGATGTAAGTGTGGGTTTGATTTGCGTGTTTGAGGACTTGTATGTGGTGCCATCGCTGCGGCGGGCGGGCGTCGGTCGCGTGCTGCTGCAGGAGCTGTGCACGCGTGCGTTGTCCTGCGGCGTGCAGCGCGTGGACTGGCACGTGGCGGCGAACAACCAAGCCGCGCGCAAGTTCTACGCGCGGCTTGGCGCGCGTGACCTGCAGCTCAGCGAGGGTCGCCTCGCGCTGCGCCTTGATGCGCCGCGCATACAAGCTGTCGCGCACGGAAACCTGCTGCCCGCCGGTGACGTGCTCTGCGACTGATCTCGGCTGTCTATGGTAAGACGCCGTCCCCGCACGCACACACAGTACCGTTAAGAGCAAATGATTGAGTATCCGTATTCCGCACACTCTGCAACTGGCTTCCGTCGACAGCAGGTCGCTCCGTCCCGCACGCGCAGCAGTCCACTCGACAGAGTACAGTAACATTATATATTTTTATTTATTTATTTAAATGAAAATTTCTTTAGGCGGGTTCTTTCTGAACCGTCACGCTCGCGTCGGTGACGCCTAGTCGGGTTTACTCGGCTCCACTCGACACCAAGCGCGCCCGCTGACACCGAGTCGTGTATACTTGGCTCCAATCTTGTCATCAACCTCGTTTACTGTCTGACCAGAAGCACATCGTTCCAATTATTATATTTTTATAATTACATATTATAATAAGATTATGTACAAAAAATATTAAATTAAGAACTTTCTTCTTCTATCGTGTAGTCATGAGAACACACCGATTTATTTCCCGCAGTTACTAAAGCTGTGTGCAATAGTAATCAACGTCGTGACTAACCCAGGTACAAATCTGCACTATGAATAACCAGGCCTCCACCCCACTGATGTTTGTATGTGTGAGTGTGTTGTAGTGTAGCCCCCACGACAGTATATAATAATGTTAATTGTAGCTGTTCAGTGAGTGGTATAATTAAAGTCATAGCAAGAGAAGACGTCTCCTTTTCGTTGATACCTTTCTACATTACATGGCGCTCCCTACAAGCGGTGCGCTGCGACAATACACGCGCACCAGTAAGAGTAGTTAACAATTAGTTTCGTCAGATTGAGTCGTTTGACATTCAATTCGAATTGCAGTCATTTTCTGTATGTAGTCGTAGTTATCTATGGATCACAACATTTACTTACTATGGACCGTGTGTTTGTTTGTCACATTATTGTTTAAAAAAGACATCCATTAAATCCTATCAAAAACTCCATTGAACACAGGTCTCCTCCACAGAGTGCGTCACTCAAAAGGGATAATCGTCCTTGTTCCCACGCCTCGCAGACAGGATGCATCACAGCCAATAGAAGTCGTCACAAGTCCGGTTGAATCCAGGATTTTAATTCATCTATAATCTATATGCAAAATTCAATATTAACTTGAAATATATAAAAGGTACCCTTCGTTTTCGTGTATTACTTTTGTTATAAATTTCAACTTTTTGTTGTCACAATTTTGTAATGAATTTAACTTATTCGGCCATTGAAGAAATTAATTCAGTTCATCTAATAGAAATGAATAAAACATTTCTCTTATAATAAGAATGCCCTAATAATAAGTCTCTTCAAAAATATGTGGGATATATGATGAAGATATAGCACGATAGAAATAGATAACTCTATAGGCATCGATCACTAATAAAAACTCTATAAGTAACAAATTTTATTCATGGCAAATACTTATGATAATTTACTTGTTTATTCACTTAACATTGAATAGTTTTGCGTTCAGTTTCCTAGACATAAAACATGGATGATTAGTAAATTATCGTTTTTATGACAAACCATTTTTATTACTTCATTGTATTAAAATTCCACTTTTCTTTACTTTAAATCTGAGTGCGATTACCGTTTCCAATCTTATCTTTTATTTCCTGATACAAACATTGCCATGTTGATAATTGTGTATTTTAATATATAGGGTATTAATTTCACTACGAAAAAAACCCTCTGTCATATCGTTCTTTTATTTATTAATGCCTATCAGAAGCTCACTGTTGAACAAAGGCCTACAACATTGACTGCATCATAGAGGGATAATTGCTATAGAAGCCGCGCATGTTTTTATTTCTTATTACTTTGAAATGCTATCAGAACAATGTTGCTGCCCGCCTTCTATTTCATTCCCCTCTGTCACCTTTCACAAACCCATAAGTACGAGATGTGAAGAGTATTGTATTAAGAAAAATAAATTGTCGTATTTCTTATTAGTAGATTACGTCGCCTATACACGGCACTGCTATAATGACAGAGGCTTGTCGTCGTGATGTGATATTGAAAGTGTCTGCCTCATTCTGGAAAAACGCTGATCACAAATTAAAAACTGGTAATGTTCAGCCTTCCCGGCTTGCTTAGTAAGACCACATAAGTAGTTCTCTAACCAATGTGATCTGGGACTCTTCCGGTCGAAGCCAACATGCACAAAAACACGTTGTTTTAAGTCGGGATGCAAAGTGATTCGTTTCTCGTATCTCTTAAAGCGATTATAAACGAGCTAGTTTTGTGGCAATTTCTAGCTGCAATCACAAAGCCCTCAAGTTGTATCTATACCGCCTAACACAGTAAAAAGTTGCTCAGTCTATAACTTTAATGGTGCTTTACATTTATGAACTATATTGCTCGACGATACGGTTGATATTACACTGCCGCAACTCTGCAAGTTATTGTGCAATAACATTGTTGCAGCAAAGATGTCACTGGTAATATTGCTCAGCTTTAGTTCTCAAAAAGATTTATCGCAAAATGTAAGTTTTTACAGAGCATTTTAGCCTGTCATTATACCACAGTAATAATTTATTATTTCCAATCCTAAATGTTTTTGACCCTAGATTTACAAGTTTTACTCAGTTATGCGTCACAAGCTGTGACTACATTGTAAAATTACGTAGGGTACAAATTAAATTCATTAGTTTTCGGTGTCGTTTTAGAGCTAACCACATAGGGCTAACATTCATGAAACGTAAATGATTCGCACGTTTTTATTTTACTTTATTAATAAATTGTCAAAGAAGAATTTATTTTATTGGGAATTGAAAAAAAATTGAACAATCACCATCAGCGTACGAGCAAAAAGGATAATAACGAATATGTAGGCGCGTCTATAAAATACTTTATTTTACAAAAACTGCTTGTCTAATTGAATTAATCTGAGAGAAAGAATGTTTGTGAGAAGCTGGTCGAAGGGACAATGGCGTCTGGGCCATGCCGCAAGGCTGATCGACTGGATAGGTCCAGGCTTATCAATTGTGCAGTTCCGCTGGTCGAAGGGGCAGTCCGTCCGAGCCGAGCACTTACGTAGGGTTAGAGGAAACACCCCCCAATCGAGTTGGTCGATCAGAGTGCAGATAACAGTATCGTCCGAGCCAGACCCAAGCGTTTTTGTCATTGGTTTTCATGAGATCAAACGTAATCGCCTTGCGTATGTGTTAATGTTAATGTGTTAATGTCCATAAATGTCCAAAGATAGGGACAGTATACTTATTCATATTAAAATGGAATATTGGACGAATTGTTAATTATAGTCAACTAAATCTAAGAAATACCTTTTGACGTTTCACATTAATCATTCTGCAATAACCTAGCACAAGCGTACTCACAAGATTTAAAATAACTTTTTACGTAAATCCGAAGAATTATGAAGTTATCTATATTTCATTACAACGTGTATAGTTTTTGTCACTAATTTAAATTTTAAATTTTTCAAACAAACAAAATATCAAAAAACTAACCAGTATTAACTTTTTTTACTTGACGTCGTTTCAAAGATATGTCGCTACGTATATTACCGTAGTGTTTGGATGATTAAAATTCATTGTTATGCGAATAATCGGCAAAATATTCAAATAATCGTTTAAAATATTCTAATAATCGAATCATCATTTTTTAAATGTATTATTTGTTTAATTTAATTTTTATTATCAAAACTCCTTAAATTACATGAATAAAACAAGTTTTTTTTTCCTTTGTCAAAGTACATTTTTGTAGGCAAAAAACTCATATACAAGGCCGTGCTAAAATAACCACTACATAATTTCAATATTCATATATATTCAAATATCATCATAACATTTCGGTACCAGTTACTCAACTCCACCGAATCAGTAATTCATTCTTAAGGCGATTTATACGATTTTACACAGAATACCAGTGTAAAATAGAAGCGTAATGCTGATGTGTTTCGTATGGTGAATTTAGGGAACCGGAGACCCATTTTACTGGAATCGAGGCACTCTATCTTAGTCCTCAGGAGCGACAACGCATTTGCATTTTGATTCTTAATTGAGGATAAATATGTATATCTATGGACCATAGCATCCACTTACCATCAGGTGGACTGTGAGCTCATTTGTCACCCAATGCTATAAAAAAATTTCGTTGAAGCATGTGCCTATGTCACAAAGGATTATTGGGCAAAGATGGTAGAAAAAACAAAAAAATTGATTATGTATGACTTTGAAAGATACATTAATTTTGACTGCATTATTGAAAATCAAATAATAATTAACATAAACAACGACATCCCTACTAGTTGTACTGAAAGTGATTGAATAAATTTATTTTTAATCTAGTTTCAATCTTAAATTTTTATAGCTGTGCCTTTAGAAATAAGCAGTAATAACAAATACGAAGAAACTGATAAATCTTGTGTTTTAAATTATCCGTTTTTAATTTATTCTGGTATTATTCAAACCAAACTGTAAATGATTACCAACTCTAAATAACCGATATCGATTTTTTTAAGAATCGTATATTGTACGTTCCCATTTTTTGGTTGGCATGCTTGGTGCAAAAAGTCTGACAGGTGTCAAAATGTATTTCTTAGATTTGGTTGACTATAATAGTGTTTGTTACAGGAATTCATGAAGATACACGCCCGAGAATGGTCATAGTCGGGGTTGGCCGTGTAGGCGTGTCTATGAAATACCAGTTATCAAGAGTGGCCGAAAGGTTGCGTCATTCTAGCGGAGTGTCATGTCGATAGTGGCGGGGTATAATTGAACGTAGATAAGGGAACCCTCACTTGTTTGTGCAGTATAAAGTTCAGTGATACACTGAGATATAATTACGTCCGTCACGTTACACTGGTGTGTGATTGTGGCGAGGAAGTGTTACGGTGTGGTCGAACTGTAATTGCTCTATACTGAATGTATTAGTGGGTTTACGCTGTCTTATTACTCATAATGATTAATTGCGTAAGCAAGAGAGAAGGTTGAGCATCCGCTTTCACACTTTTACTATTTTTAACAATTAACCGTATCCTGATGTATTTT